TTCAACTCCCAGAATTCCTCAGCCAGGCATGCTGGCTGAGGAATTCTGGGAGTTGAAGTCCACAAGTCATAAAAGGGCCCAGTTTGAAGACCTCTGGTTGAACCCAACCATACAGGCAAAGAAATCTGGTTCTCTTGCCCCGAGACGTTCCTTAAAGTCAACTGAATCTCTTCCTACAGGTGTGTGTTGCACAGCCCTACCGACAGGCCCAATGAAAAATCTACTCCTTTCTCTTTCAGAATTCAACCAGACAGTCCAGGGTTCTGGAAATATGACAGAAAAAGGCAGTCAAGATCAGCTGCTGTTTCTCTTTCCAGAATTTAACCAGCAAAACCAGGGTGTGGGCCAGATAGACGACTCTTGTGCTGAAACACCCAGCAAGAAGATGAGACGCAATCGCTTTAAGTGGGGTCCTGCTTCCCAGCAGATCTTGTACCAGGCCTACGACCGGCAAAAGAACCCCAGCAAGGAAGAGAGGGAAGCCTTGGTAGAGGAATGCAACAGGTAAAAAAACTCTGGACAAAAGAGACTTTTTTTTTCTTCTCCTGCTGCTGCATCAAATCACTCACAGCTTGTTGGCAGAGATTGCAGCTTTTGTTGTTCCAAACCAAAATCTCTATTGTGTGAAGGGGCTAGCGTGTTCTGGGTCAAAGGGAAAAGAACCTGCTATCCTCACCATCTAACTAAGCAAACAACTCTCTCTCTCTCTCTCTCTCTCTCTCTCTCTCTTTCTCTCCGTCTGTCTTTCTCTCTCTATTTATCTCTCTCTCTCCTCTCTCTCTCTCTCCGTCTCTCTCTCTCTCTCTCTCTCTCTCTCTCTCTCTCTCTCCGTCTCTCTCCGTCTCTCTCTCTCTCTGTTTGTCTTTCTCTCTCTGTTTATCTCTCTCTCTCTTCTCTCTCTCTCTCTCTCTCTTTCTTTCTGTCTCTCTCTGTCTATCTTTCTCTGTCTGTCTGTATTTCTCTCTCTGTTTATCTCTTTCTCTTCTCTGTCTCTGTCTCTCTTTCTTTCTGTCTCTGTCTTTCTGTCTCTCTCTCTTTCTCTCTCTGTCTGTCTGTCTTTCTCTCTCTGTTTATCTCTCTCTTCTCTCTCTCTCTCTCTCTCTTTGTCTCTCTCTGTCTCTCTCTCTTCTCTCTCTCTCTTTCTTTCTGTCTCTCTCTGTCTCTATCTTTCTCTATCTATCTGTCTTTCTCTGTTTATCTCTCTCTCTCCTCTGTCTCTGTCTGTCTGTCTCTTTCTTTCTGTCTCTCTGCCTTTCTCTCTCTGTCTCTCTCTATCTTTGTCTGTCTGTCTTTCTCTCTGTCTGTCTGTCTGTCTGTCTGTCTGTCTCTCTCTCTCTCTCTCTCTCTCTCTCTCTCTCTGTGTGTGTGTGTGTGTGTGTATGTGTAAGAAGCCAGCACAATTTGAGTCTGCACTTGCCATTAAAGGAAACATAACACTACCAGGCACGAGCAATCACAGGCACTTGCAAATAGCTGAAGTAAACAACTCTATTGGCTTCTACCTATGTTACAAGAATCTCCCCAGACTGCTTGCCTTCCCCTGGGAATGACCAGATAGGCTTTGTGGTTCTTGGGGGAGGTCACATTTATGCCACTTGTGGCTGTGCAAGGACTCTAAGCTAGGCCCTCACTTGACTCCTTCTTCCAGCCTAGCTGACAGTTTCCCAACATGCACTTGAAGCTTAACAAGATCAAGAGAATAATTGCTTCACTGAATTTGTTCAATATGGTGGTCACAATTTGTGCAGGCTTTGAGTATAGGTAATCCTTGACGTGATATGACCATTTGAAATCACACTGGATCGACTACTTAGGGCTACTTAGGGCCTAGTTCCAAAGTTCAGACATTTGGGCCCCTTCCAGAGTCAGGTGACTGAATTTGGGGCACTTGGCAGAACAGCCAGATTTATGATTGTTTGCACCATCCCATGAGTCACATGAGTGTGTTTTACATCAGTTTTGCCAAAACCTACCTCTTACTCATAGTTGTCCCAAAGGTGCTTTTTCAGGAGGCAACTGGACTTTCTTTTTTCTCTTTTTTCTCTTCTCATCCAAGAAGCTTCTGACTGGATGGTGGGGAAGTCAGAGCTGAAGAAGCTTCTTGGATGAAAAGTGAAATATCTTCAAAAAATAAAGTACAGTTGCCTCCTGAAAAAGCACCTTTGGGACAACCATGACCTGGATGACTGAAAAACTCCATACACACTACTCATAGTTGTTAAGTGCGAGGATTGAATGTACCTGTACATATGTGTGTGTGTGTGTGTGTATTGGCTAGGAGATTATTCCACATCTTAGTGCAACTGATTTAAAGGTCCTGTTTTAAAAGAATAATAATAATAATAATAATAGTAAAGTTGGAAGGGACCTTGAAGGTCATCTAGTCCAACCCCCTGCTCAGGCAGGAAACCCTATCATTTCGGACAAATGGCTGTCCAGTTTCTTCTTAAAAACTTCCAGTGTTGGCGCATTCACCGCTTCTGGAGGCAGGTTGTTCCACTGGTTAATTGTTTTAACTGTCAGGAAGTTTCTCCTTAGTTCTAGATTGCTTCTCTTCTTGGTTAGTTTCCACCCGTTGCTTCTTGTCCTGCCTTCAGGCGCTTTGGAAAATAGCTTGACTCCCTCTTCTTTGTGGCAGCCCCTGAGATACTGGAACACTGCTATCATGTCCCCCCTCTTCCTTCTCTTCGTTAAACTAGACATACCCAATTCCAGCAACCGTTCCTTATATGTTTTAGCCTCCAGTCCCCTAATCATCTTTGTTGCTCTTCTCTGTACTCTTTCTAGAGTCTCAACATCTTTTTTACATCGTGGTGACCAAAACTGGATGCAGTATTCCAAGTGTGGCCTTACCAAGGCATTGTAAAGTGGTATTAATACTTCACGTGATCTTGATTCTATCCCTCTGTTAATGCAGCCTAGCACTGTGTTGGCTTTTTTGGCAGCTGCAGCACACTGCTGGCTCATATTTAAGTGATTGTCCACTAGGACTCCGAGATCCCTCTCACAGTTACTACTATTGAGCAAGGTACCCCCCATACTATACCTGTACGTTTGGTTTTTCTTGCCTAAATGTAGAACCTTACTTTTTTCACCATTGAATTTCAAAATGAATTTGACCAGCTTTGATTAAGATTAAGAAATAATTAATTAATAATTAATAATTCTCAGAAATAGAGGTAGTCCTCAACTTACAACCACAATTGAGCCAAAAATTTATGTTGTTCAGTGAGAAATTTGTTAAGTGAATTGTGCCCCATTTTACAACTTTTCTCACCACATTCGTTAAGGGAATTACTGCAGTTCTTAAATTAGTTACAAGGTTGTTAAGTGAATCTGGTTTTTCCATTAACTTTGCTTGTCAGAAGATCGCAAAAGGGGATCACATGACCCAGGGACACCGCGAGCGTCATAAATATGAGACAGTTGCCAAGTATCTGAATTTTGATTACGTAACCATGGGGATGCTGCAACGGTTATAAGTATGAAAAATTGTCACTTCTTTCAGTGCCATTGTAACTTTGAACGGTCATTAAATGGACTGTTGTAAGTCATTAAATGAGCTGTTGTAAATAAGTACCTGTATCCCACACCTTAGAAAGGATGAATCTGAAATACCCACAACGCAGGGCAGAATCAACAGCAAGAAAAGCAGCCTGTAAATTAAACTTCACACTTATGCTTAAACTTCCTCTTAGGCTTGAGAGGAATGCAGCAGGTAGAGACAAAAATTCTGTCTTCTGGAATTTATTGCAATATTGGTCTTTTTGTGACTTTCTCCATGCAGTGTTTCTCAACCTTGGCAACTTGAAGACGTGTGGACTTTGACTCCCAGAATACTCCAGCCAGCTTGGCTGGCTGGGGAATTCTGGGAGTCGAAATCCACACGTCTTCAAGTTGCCAAAGTTGAGAAGCACTGCTCCACTGATTCAAACCCAAAAGAAATTCAGAAATGTTTCTAGTCAAGTGTGAAAGTCACAACCAAACTGATTTCTCCAGCTAAATTAATCAGATACTTGCAACATTGATTTGCAATATTAAATAATAAGCATACTTTAATTGGCTTAATGCCTGTGGTCCTTGGTGTCAAATGAGGCTAGGTTTGCACAAAACTTAGCTTAAAATGGGATTTGGGTGATTTTCAGTTGAGTGTATTGTGGGAATCTGGCCATTGTTTGAGCCTATTGTTAAATCCTAATGTGGACATCATCTCTTAGATCAGGGGTCGTCAAACCTGGCCCTTTTATGACTTGTGGACTTCAACTCCCAGAATTCCTCAGCCAGCATGCCTGACTGAGGAATTCTGGGAGTTGAAGTCCACAAGTCTTAAAAGGGCGAAGTTTGAAGACTCCTGTCTTAGATGAACACACAATTGAGTTTTGCTAACTTGGATTTAAGATTTAGCTTGGTGGCGGAATTCAGCCACTGCAGATTTCATACCCTTAACATTTGCTGTTTTTTATTATTATTTATCTGCTTAATTTCTTGATTTTTCCCCAGGCAGTCACACTAAAAAAATGAGAAGGTGTGTGGCAGTACTTGGCATAAGGTTTTGAGAACCACTATTTATTTTTTATTTAGATTTATTAATTTGCTTTTTTATCTCCTTGGACTACCTCATATTTCCTTCTACAAAGTCTCACCACGTTAAGAATGTCAGAACCTGAAAGTCTGTGTGCTCCTATACAATCTTAAGTGGAAGCCAGTTTGGTGTACTGATTAAGGTGCTGGCTTATAAACTAGGAGATCGTGAATTCTAGTACCTCTTTAGGCATGAAAACTGGCTGGATGACTTTAAGCCAATTACCAGGAAACTGAGAGTTCTAGTCCCACCTTAGTCCCACCTTAGACATGAAAGCTAGTTGGGTGTCTTTGGGCCAATCACCAGGAGATAGTGAGTTCTAGTCCTGCCTTAGGCATGAAAGCCAGCTAGGTGACTTAGGGCCAGTCCCTCTCTCAGCCCAACCCACCTCACAGGATTATTGTTGCACGGAAAATAGGAGAAACAAGGAGTTTTACACATGTTCCCCACCTTGAGTTACTTATAAAGTAATAAAGGTGGGAGAAAAATAAATAAAATAAATCTTGAGAGCTGTGCTTTAATTAGGCATCATTACCTACTTATTTAAATAAAATAAATGTTAGCCCACCTGCTTCAGCTGTGACCTGAGGATGAGATGAAACCAGTATCATGCGGACACATCATGTGAAAATAGTTACTGAATTCTGTTATTGCAGTCTTTGTGATGTGAAGACAGGCTCTTGCGGGTAGGGAGTATCCTTGCATACAAATAATTCCTAATTCAATGCCTACATTCTTTTTTAGACTTTTCATTTTTGGCCAAAAACCATAGAGAGATGCTGCAAATCAGAATAACAATAACACTGCTCCCCTCTGGGAGGAGGTTTCAAAGTATTTATAACAGAACTACTAGATTCTGTAACAACTTTGTTCCTTGTTCCATCTGTCTTGTAAATTCGCAGGATTCTTTTTTTCCCCCCACCATGCATATGTATACATTCAAACTAGACAGTGATGTTTTTCTTTGTCATATATGCGTGTATGTGTGGATATATGCATAATGGTATTTTTTTGTGAGCTGAATGGAACACAATTTCATTTTCATGTATGCTGATTAGTGTACCTTTAAAGTGACAATAAAGATTCTATTCTATTCTATTCTATTCTATTCTATTCTATTCTATTCTATTCTATTCTATTCTATTCTATTCTATTCCAGTCCAGTCCAGTCCAGTCCAGTCCAGTCCATTCTCAATAAAGATTCCATCCTATCCTATCCTGTCCTGTCCTGTCCTGTCCTGTCCTGTCCTGTCCTGTCCTGTCCTATCCTATCCTATCCTATCCTATCCTATCCTATCCTAAATATTCTATTCTATTCTATTCTATTCTATTCTATTCTATTCTATTCTATTCTATTCTATTCTATTCTATTCTATTCTATTCTATTCTTATTAATATTGAGCTAGTTAGACCAATTTTTTAACCTGGCAATGTTCTTAGCAAGTTCTCCTCCTGTGTTAGTCCAACATGGGGGTCCAACCAACCTTTCTCTAGGAATTTGCTTAATTCTCTCCTCTAGGGCAGAATGCCTCCAGCGGGGTGTGTCACCCTCTAAAGCACACGGCTTGGGTTCAAATCTGGTCACAGAAGTCCGCGTCTACAACTGGTTTGCAAACCGGAGGAAAGAAGAAGCTTTTCGGCAAAAGCTTGCCATGGATGCCTACAGCACGGGTCAGCCTCACACCATGAACCTCTTGCTGTCCCATGGGTCACCACACCACGCTCAACCCAGCTCTTCTCCGCCCAGCAAAATGCCAGGTAAGTCAGAGTTAGTATCTCCTGTTTGCAAAAGAGGTCAGAGGTGGTTACCCTTTTTACAAGCGGCAGGTGCTGGAAAACATTGCAGGCAGTCCTCGACATACAACAGTTCATTTAGTGACCGTTCAAAGTTACAACGGCATTGAAAAAAGCGACTTATGACTGTTTTTCGTACTTAAGACTGTTGTAGAATCCCCATGGCCACGTGATCAAAATTTGGATGCCTGGCAGCTGACTCACATTTATGACGGTTGCCGTGTCCCAGGGTTGTGTGATCCCCTTTTGCGATCTTCTGACAAGCAAAGTCAGTGGGGGGAAGCCAGATTCACTCAACAACCATGTTCCTAACTTAACAACTGCTGTGATGTACTTAACAACTGCGGCAAGAAAGGTCATAAAATGGGGGAAAATTCATTTAACAACTACCTGTACAGGTAGTCCTCAACTTACAACCACAATGAAGCTCAAAGTTTCTGTTGCTAAGCAAGACTGTTGTTAAGTGAATTTTGTCTCATTTTACGACCTTTCTTGCCACAGTTGCGAATCACAGCAGTTGTTAAGATAGTAGCACGGTTGTTAAGTGAATCTGGCTTCCCCATTGACTTTAGTTGTCAGAAGGTCACAAAAGGGGATCACATGACCCCAGGCCACTGCAACTGTCATATGTCTGAGCCAGTTGCCAAGCATCCAAATTTTGATCAGGTGACCATGGGGATGCTGCAATGGTCACAAGTGTAAAAACTGGTCATCAGTCACTTTTTTCAGTGCTATAACTTTGAACAGTCACTAAATGAACTGTTGTAAGTTGAGAACTACCTCTATTATGTGGAGAACCTCTGTTCTAGCATCTAGTTTGGGGGTAGGCAACCTTGGTTCTTTTATGACTCGTGGACTTCAACTCCTAGAATTCCTGAGCCAGCCATGCTGAGGAGAAAGGGAGAGGTTTCCATGCTGGGCCATGCTGGCTCAGGAATTCTGGGAGTTGAAGTCCATGAGTCATAAAAAAGCCAAGGTTGCCTACCTCTGATTTCTAGTTCATTCTCTCTTGCTGATATAGTTTTTCCGGCCTCCTAACATATAATCTGCCTTTTGTTTCTACTGAGATGTTCACCAGTTCGGAAGCTTTCTTCTCCTCTTTAGTTTCCCCCCCTTAAAGATATTGTTGTTTTTCTTGAAAATTGTATCCCCAGCCAACTTCTGACGTTTCCCTTCTTGTTTCGGTGATTGTTGAAAAAAGAGATTTTGGAATAATGGTAAACAGTTGAATGAAGATGTCAACACAGGCTGTACAAAAACAGCCAACTGCAAAAATAGCCAACAGCATGTTAGGGAGAATTGAGGAAAGGCACTGAAAATAGAGATGCCACTAACATTTTGTGGTATGACCACATCTGGAATACAGGTAGCCCTCCACCTATGACCAACTTTGACTGCTCAAAGTTATGACGGACCTGAGGTTCTGATGGTTGTTGTACTCGCCCTCTTCTCCCCCCTCCCTCAATCTTGTGACTGAACTTTGGGCACTCAGTAACATGACCACATTTGTAGCTGTTTGCTGTGTCTCACGTTCACGTGAGCGCATTTTATGATAGTTTTCCTAAAACCAACATTTGCTTCGGGTTTTCAGCAAAACCATGCCCCTGCTGAACCATTGGTCTGCTTAAGGACCATGACATTCACTTAATGAAGCCGTGGTGGCTCTGTGGTTAGAATGCAGTATTGTAGGCAAACTCTGCCTACTGCCAGGAGTTCGATCCTGACCGACTCAAGGTTAACTCTGCTTTCCATCCTTCTGAGGTCAGTAAAATGAGGAATCAGATTGTTGGGGGCCATAGGTGGACTCTGTAAACTGCTTAGAGAGGGCAGTGAAGAACTATGAAGCGGTATATAAGTCTAAGTGCTGTTGATATTAATGACTTTTTGTATCACGACTTACAAATGTAATGGGTAGACTCCCTTACGGTCAAGTGCACTGTATTGCGTGCACTTTTGGTTACTGCACCTCCAAAAGGAGATTGTGGAACTAGAGAGGAGATCAACTAAGATGATCGAGTGGCTGGAACAGCTTTCCTATGAGGAGAGATTTGGGGTTTTCCGTCTAGAAAGGAAGAGATTGAAAGGGGCTATTTTCCTCTCTACATTCATTTTACAACCCAAACAATGCAGAAATAAGAAGGAACAGAGAATACAACTTGGTTTGCATTGTTATTTCTTTGTAACTGTTATCTCCCACTTTCAAGGAGCTTAGTGACATATATTGTCTTCCAGTCACACTGTTTTATCCTATGGCAGGTCAGTGAGGTGTGAGACACTGGCCCTCTTCCGACAATACACACCATCCAGTCATCCCCTAAGCAGCTGCATTTCCATTAATAGAGAGACAGAATCAAGATCATGTGAAGTTCTAGTACCACTTTACAAAGTCTCAATAAGACCACACCTGGACTACTGCATCCAGTTCTGGTCACCACAATGTAAAAAAGATGTTGAGACTCTGGAAAGAGTGCAGAGGAGCAACAAAAATGATTAGGGGACTGAAGGCTAAAACATAAGAAGAACGGTTACAGAAATTGTGTTTGTCTAGTCTAGTGAAAAGAAGGACCAGCGGAGTCATGATAGCACTGTTTCAATATTTGAAGGGCTCCTACAAAGACGAGGGGGTCAAACTATTTTCCAAAGCACCTGAAGGCAAGACAAGAAACAATGGATGGAAATTAACCAAGGAGAGAAGCAACTTAGAGCTAAGGAGAATTTTTTTTTAAGAAATAGTGTAGCTGAATCAGAATCAGAATAGAGCTGAAAGGGACTACTCCAGCCCCCTGCTCAAGCAGGAGACCCTATACCAGTGATGGCGAACCTTTTAGAGACCGAGTGCCCAAACTGCAACCCAAAACCCACTTATGTATCGTCGGGTGCCGGATGAGCGTGGCCCATTGGATGGGTGTGGCCCATTGGGTGAGCGTAGCCCATTGGGTGGGCGTAGCTGTGGTGGTAACAGCAGACTGGGTAGGACTAAAAAGTTCAATCAATCAATTCCAACTTTGCGAGATCTTTTTTTTTCCAGCAAGAAGTTGAAATTGATTGATTGATTGATTGATTGATTGAACCTTTTTTTTTGCACACGGCGGCAGAGGCCTAAAGCAAAAAGGTTTTATAAAACCTAGCTGAAGGCCTAGGACTGGGGCTATGGCACACGTGCCCACAGAGAGGACTCTGTGTGCCACCTGTGGCACGCGTGCCATAGGTTCGCCACCACTGCCCTATACTATTTCAGACAAGTGACTGTCCTGTCTCTTTTTAAAAACGTCTTGTGATGAAGCACCCACAACTTCTGATGGCAAGCTGTTCAAGTGGTTAAAAGTTCTCACTGTTAGGAAGTTTCTCCTTAACTCCAGGTTGCTTCTCTGCTTGATTAGTTTCCATCCGTTGTTTCTTGTCCTTCTCTCTGGTGCTTTGGAAAATAAATTGAACCCTCTCCACTTTGTGGCAACCTCTCCATTTCCTAATGGTGAGGTCCCTTCCAACTCCATTATTCTACGTTCTTTGTTCATTCTTGTTGGTTGTGATGGCCCACCATCTCTCAAACTGAGCAAAGAACTACAATTCTGGACATAAAAGTCCTCCATTTCTGGGAAGTGCCTACCCTTAATGCTGTAGGCTTCAAAAATCTACGTAATCAAAACCGATAGCAGGAATTATGAATTTTCCACACCTCTTTGCTGCCATTTAGTGATTGTCTGACTTTTTGTAGCTCTATCTGGTTTCTAATGAGCATTTGTACCATAAGATTCCAGGTAAGACTTCATAGTATCAAGCAGCCAATAGTGAGTGGCATTTGAGCCACTGCAACCAATCAGTGTTAGGAATAGTCCTGTGACAGACTATTTTAGACCTGCTTTTCACCTCTTACTCTTTCAACAGGGTGGACACAATGGATTTAATTGACCGGGTTTAGATGTTCTTGCAAACAATTGTCTGAACAGACTTAATTACCTCAGTGCATGAAGGAGTCTAGTTGAGGTGAAGTAGTTGTCTAGTTTTGGCGTTCCTACAATCATTGGCATCCATGCAGAAGTAAAATATAACAATCTGTATAAAAAAGGGGTGGGATTTGATTGCAGGTACTCCTCCACTTACAACCTTTGTTTAGTGACCAAAGTGTCACTGAAAAATAATAATCTACAACTGGTCCACACACTGCGCCATGGTGGTGCAGTGGTTAGAATGCAGCACTGCAGGCTAACTCACTGCCCACAGCCAGGAGTTCGATCCTGACCGGCTCAAGGTCGACTCGGCCTTCCATCCTTCCAAGGTCGGTAATATGAGGGCCCAGATTGTTGGGGGCAATTGGCTGACTCTGTAAAACCACTTAGAGAAGGCTGTAAAGCACAATGAAGTGGTATATAAGTCTAAGTGCTATTGCTATTGCTATTACAACTTCTGTAGTGTCCCCATAGTCACATGATCAGAAATTGGGTGCTGTCCCTGGTCCTAATTGTCATTTTAACTTTTTTTTAAAGGTTTAGTATGGATGCCATTGTCTACAACACATTGCCTCAGTTAAATGTGCTGTGGGAACACAGTGGCTGCATTCACACAATAGGTCCAATCAGATACATTAAATATTGGTGGTTGCATTCTCATAGCACGCTAAGTGTACATTATATTCCTTGTGATTAGCTTGTTTTGTAACTTGGCATGTATTCTCTCCTAAGTTATGATTTAAAGTTGTGTAGACAAAGCCAGAAATTTAGATCAATACAATAATCAAGTTGAGCGTCTCCGGAGATTCTCAGTCATCCAGGTTATGGTTGTCTCAAAGGTGCTTTTTCAGAAGGCAACTGGACTTTTCTTTGCTTTTCCTTGAAGATGTTTAGCTTCTCATCCAAGAAGCTTCTTCTCTCATCTGAAGAAGAATGCTGATAAAAGAACCTTTGAGTCAATCACGTTGAGCGTGTTGTGTCAATGCTGCCAAAGAATAAGCAGCCCAAGGCATCCAG